AGGAGGGCAGATGACATAGGGCATATGTCTCGCTGATTGGGGTTTGCAAGTACCCCTACTGCAAGTCACCGCCCACCTCTGCCTTTTCTCCATGCAGCACTCAACCTCCCTAAGAGGACATTGAACAGATGTTTGAAAAATACTTTGTTCCTGACTGATGTGGTTCAGTGGGTTGGGCATCATTCCTGAAACCTAAAAGGTACAATTCCTAGTGAGGACATATCCCTGGGTTACAGGCCAGGTCCCCATTTGGTGGCCTGGAAGAGGCAACTTATCCATGGATGTTTTTCTTGAACTTTGATGTTTCTGTCCTTTATTTTCTCCCTCCCTTCTCCTCTCCCTAAAATAAATAAATAAAATCTTAATTTAAAAAAGAACCTTTTGGCCCTGGCTGTTGTGGCTCAGTGGATTGAGCGCAGGCTGCAAACCAAAGGGTCACAGGTTCAATTCCCAGTCAGGGCACATGCCTGGGTTGCAGGCCAGGTTCCCAGTTGGGGGTAGACGATAGGCAACCACACATTGACAATTCTCTCCCCCGCTTTCTCTAAAAATAAATAAATAAATGAATAAATAAATAAAATCTTCAAAAAATTTTTGGAACTAGGTTACAAAGATTAATTTTATCCTTGTTTTTTTATACTACATATACATTTTTAACTTTGTAAGCTATACTTCACAATAAAACAAAGTGATTATTGCCTGCTTTGAAATAATTACAAATTGTTTAAAGTCTGTCTATAAATTATACTGGAGGAAAATAAATGCTATAATAAATTTGACATATAATTCTTGTGACCTGCTCTGAAGAAAACAAAATTAAAAATAATTTCTGAAATTACTAGAATAACTGCTAAGGATTACAAAATAAGTTCATTTTGAAATAACATCTATATGTCTCAGTTCAGCCTTAAGGGAATTAATTTATCCCAGGCTACCTAATGATCCAGTGGAAACACTAGAGCCAGAAATAAATCATGACATAATCTTCACCGTGGCAGATATATTCTGCAGATATTAACCTGACCTAATTTTATATGTTTCAAATAGATCCTGAAGATGAGAACTTTTCTTGTGTTTTTATTTTGAGTTGATAATTTTGTATCATTGCCAGATTTTCTGTTTTTATGAGGAATAAAAAGAGGCTAAAGTTAATAATCTGAGAAAGTTAAAAATTTTACTAATTATCTTGGAGACTTGATAACCAATGACTAACTGAGGAACATGATTTTTCAAAGTCTCTGTTGACTAAAGATAAAGCTACAAGCCACAGCAGGCATGAAGACTAGCAGAGAACATCTCATAAGGGCGTACTTTGCCCTTTGCTTGGACTGCTTCTAATACCAAAGCCTGTTCATGTTGGCAGTCCAAACTATGTGCCTTAGAAAATTAGTTTCATGGGATGCTAAATAGATGTTATATGAAAAAAACTATTCCTGCCCTGGCAGGTAACTAAATTGCTTAGAACATCATCCCCATATGCCAAGGTTGTGGGTTCAGTCTCTGGTCCCTGCACATACAAGAATAAACCAATGAATGCATAAATAAGTGGAACAACAAGTTAATGGTTTCTCTCTCTCCCTCTCTCTCTCTCTCTCTCTCTCTCTCTCTCTCTCCTTTCTTTCTCTCTCCCTCTCCCCCCTCCCCCCTTCTCTCTCTGTCTCTCCCTTCCTTTCTCTCAAATCAATAAATTTTTTAAAAAATGAAAAACTATTCCAGGTCCAAATAAGTTTAGGAAACACTGGGTAAAATCAAGTTAAACTGGTTGCTTTACTTCCCAGAGCATTTGGTATGGTAATGTGCTTTGCTAATATTTAAAGGGATGCACTATATAGTGTGCAACTTTCTCCCAAGGAAACATTTTTTTCTCCCAAGAGACTTCTGTCCAAGGTTAATGTTTCTTTGAACATCAATTCTATAAAGTTCTAGGGTTTCAATTAAAGGGTTTCAATGAGAGAGACATTCCCATTTTGTAGATTACAAAACTGAGGTCCAAAAGACATAGGTAAGATATACAAATTCAATTGTGTATCAGATGTTTAGAGCTGGAAAAACCCTTGAAGTATGAAAGGTTAACTTATTACATCACAAAATTAGTGACAATGTCACAACCAAAACTCAGATTTTAAACACTCAATTCAGTGCGAGTGTCTTGCAGGTTCATTAAAAACTTGATTTTGATCTTTAGTGGATTTGTTTCTATGTGTAAGATATATAACTAACATTGCTTTTCTATAAGTTCATTCATGTAATTTCAGCATACTCTTTCATTTATACAGCCTGTCACCATTTTTTAAAAATTGGTAATGCCTATCCTCTGTATGTTTTTTGGTTTATAAGTCACTCTCAATACATTGTTTCATTTTATTATCTGAATTTCCCTATGAGGCAGACATCATTATTCCCATGTAACTAATAAGGAAACTGAGGCTTTAAGCTGTTAAATAACAAGTTAACATATTTAGTAAATGTCCTGTGAGTTAAATTGGGAAAAGACGGTCTCTTCCTTTAAAGGGCTTTGTCATAGTCAAGGAGACAAGACTTATAAACATGAGAGAGTATGTAAGAGAATGCTAAGTAGAATGGTACAAACTAGACAAGAATGCTGAAGGAATTCAAAGGGGAAAGATTACTGCAGATGGAATTAATCAGCGAAGTCATCATGGAGGGATAAACCTTAAGCTGGATCATAAAAGAATTATAAAGATTTCAATTAGCAGAAAGGGAAAATAATCGAAAAGAAGAGTGACATCAGCAAAGGCATTAACATGAGAACAAGAAATAACATTGATGGAAAAGAATTAGAGTTTGAAGGGAGATGGGTCTGAAAGGACCAGTCCCTTGGCTGTGCAAGAAAAGCCAACTGCTAGCAGACAATGAGTTCCCAGTCAATGAATATAAAATAATATGGCACTATTCACCCAGAATGAGCAGTTAGTTGCTTTCCAACCCAAATTATATAGAAATGCAGTAAATGTACACTCTCTGCTGTGGACCCCAGGAATGAAAAGGAGAAAGAAACAAGAGAAGGCAGGTCCAAACTGGTAGATATGGGTATGGAAGAAAAGGTGGGGGAGTAACATGAGCCTCACTAGCCATCAGATCTGTTAATGGGAAACATGAATAGAAGACATTTATATGCTCCTCATACCCCTCCCATTCCTTTCTTGATACTATTTCATCTGAAAGGCGTTTGACCTACTAATGCTAGGGAAAAAAATGCCCTTTGAGGTGGTTCTTGCACAGCCAGATGCACATGCTAACTCAGTCACCACCCAGCAGAGGGTGTTCCCTACAACCCATCTCAGCCCAGAAATGAGACTAAGGTCTGGCACAGAATAAGTTAAAATGAGTCCCTTCCAACTTTCCCACACAAGGTACTGCTTTGTTCTGTTTAAACTTGTCAGGTCTAAATCCAGGAAATTCAAGGTCTTGCTTAAATTTATAATAATTTTCAAATAAGCCATCGCCTGCAAACTGAAAGGTTGCTGGTTCGATTCCTGGTCAGGGCACAAGCCTGGGTTGCGGGCCAGGTCAAGGTCCCGAGTTGGGAGTGTGCAAGAAGCAACCGGTCAGTGTTTCTCTTCCTCTCTCTCCCTCCCTTCCCTCCCGCTAAAAATAAAATCTTTAAGGCAATTTTTTTAAAGAAGTGTAAGAGAGCCTAAGTAGGAAATAAAAAAAGAAAGAAACCTCTAACATGAAATACACTGCCCCAGAGCCCCCTAAGAGATCAAATGACAACTGGAAAACATGCTTCAGTTGGAGCTTTCCCTGAATAACACGTGAATCCAACTGCACAGTTGCTCTCTCCTTCCCCAGAAAAGGGGAGGACTGACCTCTAGTAATGAACCTGCCATGGAGGTGCCACTACCAGATCCTGAAAAAGGGAAGGCACATATTTTACCCTTGTGACAGCCTTAAGGCGCCATCTGCAGTTACCAGCTAAGACTGCAATAAACCCACACCTCCTGCGAGCTTGTTAGGATCAACCACTGTTAAAAAAGAAAACAAAGAAACACTAAATTCAAGTTAGAGAGTCCTCAGAAGACCCTGGGTCATAGAGCAAATGCAAACATAGCTTTAAGGCACAGTGCCTAGGAAAAGATCTAAAGGCCTTATTGGCTATATGTTCAATGAGCAACAACAACAAAAGCTAATAAATTGGTAGGCTGCTTGATTTAAAGAATGATATATTGTCCAGACCTTGAGAACTTAATAACCCCACAGTACCCTGCTCTGTCTGAACACATCTGTGAATCACATTCCGTTCCGAGCACCACGATTTAAGAGCAATATTGACAAGAGCCATAAAAATGTTCATACCTTTTGACCCAGTAATCCCACCCATGGGAATTTATTCTGAAATAATTCAAGAGAACAGATAAATTAGATGAATGAAGATATAGATGCCGTAGTCTTTGTAACAAAAATATATATGAATAGCCTAAATGTCTCCCCAAAAAGGGAATATTATACAGCATGAAAATATATTTATTTGAAAAAAATGTGCTCATGCATGCTACAACATGGATGCATCTTGAAAACATTATAAGAGAAAAAAGCCAGACACAAAAGAAGATATTGTATGGTTCCATTTATATAAAATGTCCAAAAGAGGCAAATCCATAGAGACAGAAAGTACATCAGCGGTTGCCGGGAGCTGGGGGGAGAAGAGAATCGGGACTGATTGCTAATGGCAGTGAGGTTTCTTTTGGGGGTGGTAAAAATATTCTGGGGTTAGTGTTGCTGTTTGCACAACCTTATGAATATACCGAAACCTGCTAAATTGTATACTTTAAAAGAGTGAATTTTATGGCATGTGAATTAAATCTCAATAAAGTTTATATATGAATTTTTCATAGTAATATATATAAATGCTCATGATTCTGTGAGGGGGAGAAAAACAGTATAAAATTATACCCCTGATGTGATTCAATCATGTAGAGTTAATTATGTGCATTTACAGATGAGGACAAAGAGGTCATGAATAAACGAAAACAGTCTGACAGAGGTGGATTTTTTATTGGGGGGTGATGGTGACCATTACATTGTTCTTCAAGCCATTACCTATTTTCTTTCCTTCACAAGACAGTGTCCACAACAGGGCACACAAAAGATGACAAACCAAGCCATTTAACATAAGGCTGGGCAAAAAAGAACCCAGAATCCAGTGTTGAAAGCAATCTTAGAAGTCATCCAAGTCCCACTTCCTCGTGCTGCAAGGAAAATCCTGAGGCCCAGAGTGATGAAGCGACTCATCCAAAGTCAGCCCTCTGGTCACCGAGAGGGATATGAGATGAAAGGCGGGTTCTCACCAAGACAGGACTTCTTGTTGGTTTTTGTTCTTTGTAGCAAAAGATGGCTAACCTAGAAAGAAATTTTAGTAAAGCTAATTTCAGTCCAATAAAATAGTTCTTAACTATTACAGACAATCAATAGGTGGAAAAGTAGGAAATTTCCTATTCAACAGAAGCCAAAATGGTCATCTCTGAAGCAAGCTATTCTCAAGATGCTGTACTAGACAGGGACTTAGGGTGGAGGCCTTTTCAGTTCCTTTCAGTGGATTGAGTGCAGGCCTGTGAACCAAAAGCCAGTTTGATTCCCAGTCAGGGCACGTGCCTGGGTTGCCCGCCAGGTCCTCAGTTTGGGGCATGCAAGAGGCAACTGATCTATGTTTCTCTCTCTCTCTTTGTCCCTTCTCCTCTCTCAAAAAAAAAATAAAATAAAATAAGTGAAATCTTTAAAAATGTTTAAGAAGAGGTCCTATGAATTTTTTATTTGTGGCAGCAGGACAATACAAATGCACTGGATTTCATTAAATCAATTCAGGTAGAGACTAAGGAAGACTTCTTACTTACTAGTTAATCTTAGTTGTTGTTTTTTAAAATAATTATTTTAACCCTGGCCAGGTAGTTCATTTGGTTAGAACATTGTCCCAATATCCCAAGGTTCTGGGTTTGGTCCCTGGTCAGGGCACATGCAAGAACCAACCAAAGAATGCATCAATGAGTGGAGCAACAAATCAGTGTTTCTCTCTCTTTCTCTCTCTTCCCCCTTCCTTTCCTTATCTAAAATCAATAAATAAATTTTTTGAAGGACAATATTTATTTAAAATTATCTTAGTGAATTTCTGCTTTCCGCTGATTTCCATTACGTCAGATCCTTTGGGAAGCACATCATGAGAAAAATCAATGACTATGTCCCAGGGTTGGCATCAAAGTAGAGTTCCCTACCAGAAGGTCTAAATTTATATGGTTTTATATCATTTCTTCCTTTTAAGAAAAAAAGGCTGTTTGCAACAACATGGGTGGACTGGGCCTTGAGGGCATTATGCTAAGTCAAATAAGCCAGACATAAATATAAATATCTTATGATCTCATATGTGGAATCTAAAAACAAAAATAAAAAACAAGGTCACAGATACAGAGAAGAGATTGTGGCTGCCAGAGGCAGGGGCTGGGGGAGTGTGCAGAGTGGGTGAAGGTGGTCAAAGGTGCAAACTCCCAGGTACAATACATAAGTCCTGGGGATGGGATGTACACCATGGTGACTACATTTAATTACACTGTGTTGCTATTTGAATGGTGTTTGAAGAGTAAACCTGAAAAGTTCTCATCACAAGAAAAAACTCTGTAACCACGTATGGTGATGGATGCTAACTAGCCTTATTGTGGAGATCATTTCACAATATACACAAATATTGAATCATTATGCTATCCCCCTGAAACTAATATTATGTACTATAGTTATACCTCAATTTTTTAAAATAGCAATAGAAATAGAATGTCATGACTAACAGCACAAATTTATGTTACAATGATCAGAGTTTAAACCCCAGCATAGCCACTTAAAAGTCATTGGGTAAATGAATCTCCCTATGACTGTGTCCTAATCTATATAGTAGAAATAATAATAACCTTCTCTGAGGAGCTGATGGAATTGTTTGATGGAACTGTTTGATTGACATCATTATATGTATTGTGCTTAACAAGTTGCCTAGATTCAAGAAATAGGTTTTTAAAAATATTTTATTTATTCATCTTTAGAGAGAAGAAGGGAGGGAGAAAGAGAGGGAGAGAAACATCAACGTGTGATTACCTCTCGAGTGCTCCCCGCTAGGGACCTGGTCAGGTATTTGCCCTGACTAGGAATCGAACCGTCAACCCCCTGGTTCACAGGCTCATGCTCAATCCACTGAGCTACACCAGCCAGAGTGATTCTAGAAACAGTTTGACAAAACATTACTGTTATCTTTAAAATAGAAAGGCCGGACTATACCATTGGCTGTTAGATGTATGAACAGATGTCCTCTAGGGGTGGGTGGGTAGTCTATTCCTGGCAAGGACTGTTTCAGTACCTGCTCACAGACAGGACAAGAAGGGATCCAAACATGAGTTAATCAGACAGACTTTTCTGCTGAGAGGTAATAAACATTTGACCGCTTTCTCATTTCTCACCTAGTGCCCCAGCCATAACCCTCCCCACCCCCCCCAAAAAAAAACTATCTCCTGTGGAATGCTTATTATCAATCCACACTAAAGTAACCAATGGGGGTAAAAGTCGGGTGTCAGACCACCCAAACTATAGCACCTCAAAAATATAAGTACCTCTGTTTTTCTGCATAAAAGGATTGAAAACTACTGATATCGGGGGACAGCCTCCCTAACTGAAATGAATCTGCCAAAGGAAAGACAAGAGAGTTGTGCAAGGAGAATGTGCAGGTGAAAAGGGGTATCTTGCCCTGATGAGGTAGCTCATTTGGTTAGTGTATGGTCTTGATATGCCAAGGTTGCAGGTTTGATTCCCAGTCAGGGCACATACAAGAATAAACCAGTGGTCCTGAATGGTGTGGCTCAGTGGGTTGAGTGCCAGCTTGTGAACCAAAAGGTCATAGATTCAGTTCCCAGTCAGGTCACATGCCTGGGTTGGGGGCCAGGTCCCCAGTATGGGGTGTGGAAGAGGCAACCACACATTGATGTTTCTCTTCCTCTCTTTCTCCCTCCCTTCCCCTCTCTCTAAAACTGAATAAAATATTTTTAAAATAAGATACCACTTTATTTTAAAATATATATACACCCATATTTTTATAACAAAAACAGAATGTGAGGACAGTAAAATGATTTTCTAAATCAAGTAAAGCCCCTAATTACTCTTTTGCCTCTTTTACTTCACAAATTATTTTTAATATATTTACATTTTCAGATGTAGTACCACATATCATAAGTTAATAAGTTACTAATTAATAGTCTATGAAAATGTCTCATTAAAATTCCATGTAATAATATAACAAATTGTGTTTTTCAAAGGAAATATATGTCACTTTTGGCAACTTTAAAAAGATGTGAAAGTTATTTTGGTCTTGAAATCATGGTATTTAAGTTCTTTGGAAAAAAGCCCTGGCTGGTGCGGCTCAGTGGATTAAGCTTGGGCCTGCAAACCAAAGGGTCACTGGTTTGATCCCCAGTCAGGGCACATGCTTGGGTTGCAGGTCAGGTCCCCAGTGGGGGGCATGCAAGAGGCAAACACACATTGATGTTTCTCTCCCTTACTTTCTCCAAAAATAAACAAAATCTTTTTTAAAAAATGAGCAAGAAAGCTGGAGTTAAGGCATATAATTTTATTGTTTAATATTTTATTTATTTGTAGAGAGAGGGGAAGAGAGAGAGAAGAAGAGGGAGAGAAACAGTGTGAGAAATATCCCTCGGCTGAGAGGCAACCGGGGGCCTGGCCTGCAACCCAGGCATGCACCCTGACTGGGAACTGAACCAGTGACCTTTTGGTTTGCAGGCCGGTACCCAACCCACTGAGCCACACCAGCCAGGGCTTATTTTATTTTTTAAAAGATTTTGTTTATTTAGTTTTATAGAGAGGGGAAGGGAGGGAGAGAGGGAGAGAAATATCAATGTATGGTTGCCTCTCAAGTGCCCCGCACTGGAGACCTGGCCAGCAACTCAGGCATGTGACCTGACTGGGAATCGAATCAGCAACCCTTTGGTTCACAGCCCATGCTCAGTCTATTGAGCTACACCAGCCAGGGCTAAGGCATATAATTTTAACACCCTGTGACTGGTCTCCAGTCTTCCTCTGCATCCTGGACCGTGTCTTCTACACTTGGCTAGTAACTGGGAATTAAGTAAGGTTCCCTTGAGATACTCAAGCTGTTTCCCTAGGGTTTCCCCTAAATCCCCATAAAGGCATATGAGATATAAAATCATGAATTGTTACATGAATCCCCATAAAACAATGGCATCTGTCCCTTCTCCAATATCCCAATGCACTCCTTTCACACCTCTTAGGACACATAACTCAAAAAACAGAACAAGGCTGACTTTGATATCTGTGCATCTGGGTGAGCGCCCAGGCAGCGAGGTGTTGCAGCTTCAGAACCAGATCCTAAGTTTGGATCTGAGGATCCAGCCAGTCCGACCACCCATGTAAAGGTTGAGGACTCCCCACAATACCCCTCCAAGCAGAAGAGTCTGTGAGGGGAGACTCACCACCCTCTACTCCCTAGCATCTTGTTCCTTCTTGGGAAAAGTGTAGCTCTTGGAAAGTTCTCCTACAAATGGAATTAAAATATTTTTCTGAAAGTTTGAAGTTCAACATCAGCCTTACTTCTTAGTAATCCACAGAACAGATCAAATCCCTTTTGTCACAGAGTAATTTGTAAAATATTAGAACCTTCACATTTTTTCTTCAACCTCCTAATCCAGTGCTTTGAACATTTTAAAAAATGTTAAATAAGCTTCCTTCTTCACTCATTAATGTACTAGGGGTAGGATAAGGTGGTATAATCTCTAAAGATATTTTATTGGTTTTACAATGTCTTTCATTTCACTTTATGGTTTTAAGAAAAAAAAAGTCAGGAATACAACAGCCAAGAACTCAGAAATTCAATACATAAATACATTCCTCCACCACAATAGCTTCGTCACCCCTTTAAGGTTTTCTCATCTCCACTACAAGCAGTTTCTTTAATGCTGTTGGGTGCCTCCTATGGGCAAAGCTGGGCTGGGACAAGCTGCCCAGCTCTGCCAGGAAGAGTCCATCCTCAAATTTCTTCTCACCTCTAGAATCCCCTGGGCTTCCTGGGCTGACTCAGGACTTCATATGCAGCCTGGATTTCCAGGAAGTGCCTCTGAGCCTCTTCTGTCTGGTGCTGGTTGTGGTCAGGGTGCCAGATCTTCACCAGCTTCCGGTATCTCTGATGTATTTCTTCATTTGTTGCCCCCTCTAAGAGACCCAAAACCTTAGGGAAGCAGAAACTGACAAATTAGAACCCCATAAGTTGTTGAGGCACCTGGGACTTTCTCTGCTCCCTTGTTAAATCAGACTGTGATGCCCTGGCTGGTGTGGCTCAGTGGATTGAGCTTGGGCCTGCAAACCAAAGGGTCACTGGTTCGATTCCCAGTCAGGGCACATGTGTGGGTTGCAGGCCATGTCACCAGTGGGCAGGGCACGAGAGGCAACCATAGACTGATATTTCTCTACCTCTCTTCCTCTTTCCCTTCCCCTCTCTAAAAAGAAATAAATAAAATATTTTAAAAAATCAAGCTGTGATATCTCTGGGATGGGCTCCTACTTGACCATAGAAAAGGCCTAGAGCCTGACATTAGAATTCCAGCCTTTTGAAACACAGACAAGCTCTGGATCTCATGGCAAGAACCAGAATTTGCCTTTAATCACAGCTGCCCATTTTCCAATCTGGAACTTCACATCCCTGATAAGATCTCCTCCCTGCAAGAGAAATAAGCGTGTATGGCCACCAAAGACATGTACAAGAATGTTCATAGCAGCCTTATGCAGGACAGTCCCATACCAGAACCCAAATGTATCAAGAGTGGACAAATAAATTCTGGCATACTCATACAATGGGATACTGTACAATAATGAAAACAAGCAATCTACAATTGTGTACAACAGTATGAATAAATCTCACAGACATGAGGTTGAATGAAAGCAGACACAAGAGTACATACTCAATGATTCCACTTATATGAAGTTCAAGACTGGGCAAAATCAATCTGGTAACAGAAGTCAGCGGTTACCTCTGAGGAAAGGAGTATACTCTGGGAAGGAGTGTGAGGGGCTCTTCTTAGGGGTGGAAATATTTCATACCTTGACCTGAGTGGTGGTTATGTAGGTCTGTACATGAAATTAGTATACTTTGTATATGTTATACCTCAATAAAAAGTAGATAAAATACACATATTTTTCCCACTATTAGAGCCTCTGTACCTTCCCCCATTACACAGAGAAACTCAAAGAAGCCAGGACCCAGTGGCCATGAAAACAGGACTTCCACATCAGGGCACCAGATCCAACAAAGCTTAGTCTAACTCCCGGTCAGGAACGAGAGGGAAGAAAGCCTTACCTGGTAAGCCAGCTGCCGCTTCTCATCCTGAAAACTGTGAACAAACTCATAGAGCTTCTCCCACTCCTGGAAGTAGCTGCTGCTGAAGCCAAGAGTCCCCACCAGCAGCCTCCAGACACGGTAAGGCAGGAGGAGGACAGACTCCATGAGACGGCCAAGGAGGGGGAAGAAGCTGAACCAATTCAAGAAGGAGCCAAGGGTCTCTGCCACATAACTGAGGGTGGCAGCTGTGTTGCAGAGGGTGCTGTATGCTAGCGGGCCCGTGAACGCAAGGTAAGCTAAGCCCAGACGGTAGAGCCGCACACTAAGTGTCTCTGACGCAACTGAAGTTTTGTAGCGGCGATGCTTCTGGGCTGTGATGCTGGCCGCCAAGCTGATGGGCAGGATAGCTATGGGGCGGCCATAGAAGATAGGGGAAGTGAGAAACGCCACCCCTAGTGTGTTCTTAAAGTCTGAAGTCTGGTTGCCAACAGCAGCCACCAGCAAAACTCCTAAGCCAACTGCCAGTGGGAGGCCCACAACATAGAAGCTGGCCATGAAGGAAAGGCTAATGAGAGCCACGAGGCCAAAGTAGATGCCCACTATCATCTGGGCGGCAAAGCGAATGGGACTCAGAGGGGGTGTCCCCCGTCCTGAACTCTGCCTCTGTCCCTGGGCCCTGTTGGCCTGAGCTACAAAGCTTGGGAGCTTCCAGAACTCCCAGAGCCAGCCCAGACCACCACCTCCCAGGGTAAGCATCCAGAGCAGTGCATGGCTGTCCCTGCCCAGGTACAGGTGGTGCAGCCCAGCAGGGCCCCCGATAGCCCAGAGGACATAGGTCACCAGGAGCCCCTTGGCCATCCTTCAGGGAAAAGGTCTCAGGACAAGTCTGGTGACATCTGACATTGCTCAGAGTGCAGAAATCTGGGGTCCTCTGTGAGAATCATGGCCATCATGGCCCCAGAGTTATCCTTAGACCCTAGGAGATGGAAGAAAGTAGCGGTGAGACTATATCCAGGTCACAACACAGTAACCATATCTCCTTCCAGGGAGAGTCCAGGTCTTCCTGAGTGTCCCTGGAATGCTGCTCCACCTGGACCCTTTGCACTAACACCTCACGTCTGTTTTTGACAACCACAGTGACTCCAAATTTAGGGGGCAGGAATGTTTCAAATGCTTTCACTTGAGTAACTGAGAACTCAACACAGGGACAAAAAACTCAGAAGCTTAAATTTTCGACTTCCCCTCAGACGACTGGCCCGGGGAATGACTCCATGGGGAGTGGAGTGCGTTGGATGCCCTTCTAAAGCCCCTCCACATTTTGAAAGTTCCTGCCCAACTCTGACTATGGCTGTCCTCAGACACTCGGCCAAGGTTTTAGCCCTTCTCCAGCCTTCCCAGCTCCCCAGGCCATGAAATCCTTCCACGTGTCAAATTTGCAAAAAGCCCTGAATTCGTTCCACTTAAACAGCTCCGGAGAACTACGTTTTGGCCTGGACCCTGGCACCCCCTAACTCCACCACCTCCCGTCAGGGCAGACCTGGAAAGCCTCTCCAAAGCAGCCGTGAACCCCCAGAATACCAAACCAGACGCCGCAGTGTGCGTGCCAATCTCCCCTCCTCGTAGAGCGGGCCTCAGGACCACCAGCCAGTCCCGACGAGCCCCAGGGCGAGCGGCCGGGCCTGGGCGCCCCGGCGCCCCGGCTCCCCGGCTCGGCAGCCCAGCCACTTCCTTGGACCACGGCGTCAAAATGGCCCCTCTCACTCCGCTCCCACTTCCATCCAAATGGACTTTGTCTTTCTGTGTTTGCAGTGCCACGGAAGTCAGATCGTTGGGGCCAGGCCCCTCCCTAAGGCCCTCCCCGGCCCCCTCGGGATCACCTGTCTGCCTCCAGCCTCCCCGGCCGGTCCTCGCCGACAGTCAGTCGAAGGTTTGGGGGGCGTACCCAGCCTCCCCAGACTCCACGGGGCGGGCGAAGTGCCCAACTCCCGGCCGAGCGCTCCTGCACCGCGGCGCCGCAGCCGCCAGGTGGCGCTGCTGCTCACATAGGGCCCGGCGGACCCCCCGGACTCACCTTGTCCATTTTCCCGGGCAAAGCCGCAGTCCCCTATAAAGGCAAAAATAGTCCCTGGATCTCCCTTTTCCACTCCCACAAATGGGAGAGTGACTCCCCCTCACCTCAAGAAGCACTCTATCCCTACTTGTCCTTAGAGACTGCCTTGGATGGCTCCACTTCCAATTCCTCTATGGCAGGGACACCCAAAGATAGGCTGCAGAGAGAGACTCCCCTCCACCCCTGCGCACAAACACAGACACCCGAGTTTGCCTCGCCTCCCCGTTCCGGGCGCGCCAGTCAAGGGGCTCTACGTCTAGACCTGAGCCCGAGACCTCAGGAGCCTCTCGATCCAGCAGGAACCTCAGGTCGGCTGTATTCCGCCAGCTATGGCGAAAGGGAGAACCAGGAGCAAAAAGGGGTGGGGGGTGATGGGAGTCCCGCCAGGAGAGCAAGGCCGCCGTCTGCCTTCCTCTCGCCTCGATGCTGGGTTGGAGTTGGGCTGAAAGATGCCTTCATTTTAGCATCCTGGGCTCCAGTCCTGGTTCTGCTATGTGACCTTGGCCAAGTCACGCCGCTTCTGGGGACTGCTTCCTCCTCTGTACAGAAAAGGCTTGGCTCTCCAAGGTCTCCTAGCCTTGACTTGGGGGTGGGCTGGGCCTGGTGAGCCTCACGCATGTCTCCTCCCTGCAGTTGGCAATATCTGTTCCCTCCACAATCCCAGGCCCCTCGGTCCTTATCCCAGCCCGGGGGAGGAAGACGGCGCTCCCTACTGCCTGTCAGAGCGCGTTGCGGGGCCAGGGCTGAGAGGGGCGGGATGAGACGAGGGAACCACCCGCCAGGGGTGGGCGCGGACCCGGGCGCTGAATAATGAATGAGCCTTAATTGGGCCCGCACTGCGAAGAGGCGCGCTAAGCTCAGCAAACAGTTCTGGCGGCGGACGCCGCCGCTGCACAAACAAACTATCTCCAGGCACAGGGATAGGGGCGGGGGGAGGCAGCGGCGGGAGGGGCGGGGGAGGGCAGGTCTCCCAGGCCCCTGGGCCACTGACGAACCCAGGGTTGCGGGCCTGCGCTGGCCTCCCAGAGAGGAGGCTCAGGGTTCAGGAAGCGAGGACTGGGGAGGGAGAGAAGCGGATTGTGCGAGGGAACCAGGGGCCCCAGGGCGACCTGAGCGCGAGGAAAAGATGGAGAAACGAGTGGAGGGCGGAGGAGAGAGGGAGAAGTGAGAGAGGAAAAGGCGCACCGGGGGAGGGGCTGCAGCGGGGCGGAGGCGAGAGAAGAGCTGTTACCAAGAGGAAAGGGAAGAGCGATGGAGGAACAAGCGAAGGGAGGCGCCAGGGGCCAGGAGAAGAAGAATTGGAGAGGAGTCAGGGAGAGGGATGGGAGGTGACCGGAATGAGAACTAGAGGGCGGCGGGGCGGGCGGAAGGCGCCCCTGCCTCCGCCTGGGTCCGCCGCACTCCCGCCCTAGCGCTCTCTCCAGGCGCCCGCACTCACTTTGTCACAATTACGGGGCCGTCACTCGGCCCGGATTGTTTTCCCCAAATTGTTGTTCCATAAGCTGGCGCGGGGTGGGGAGTTGGGGGATCCGACAAGCCGAAGTGGGAGCGAGGGTCTGAGCTGCGCCGGGGGCGTGGTGGTGCTTTTACCAAGAAGCGGGCCTGGTGCAGGCAGGTGAACTCAGAGGTCCTCGCGGGAATTCTGGCTGCCTCCTCAGCCTCGGCGCTGATCCCGCTTTTAACCTTCCTTGTTCTTTTCAGCAGCGCTGCCTCGGTTTCCCCAACAGAGAACTTCAAGAATTGCAGGGCAGGTGCGCTGGAGGCAGTCGTAGTTTGGGACTTGAAACTCCCCGCTTAATCCATTCTCTTCTGTTCTTCACTATCCCCGTCCCGGGGGTGGGGGCGCCTATCCCAGTTCAGCCCCCCTGAGTGGCTGGACTCCCACCGCTTCCCCGGCCCCGCCCTCCAGCCCCGGGCTCCGCGACGCTAGGCGCCCCGCGCCACTTCGCTGTCCCTCAATTCCGCAAACATCTGTTGCGCTCCCACTGTGAGTCAGAGCCGCGCCGGCCAACCCCCGCCCCCGCCCCCTCGCCCCGACCACTGTCCCCCGACACCCGCCCCTTCCCGGCCCGGCCGGCCTGTAGGCTTCTTGACAGCCGCCGCCGAAGCCCAGGCCCCGCGGGAGCGGCCGCAGAGGAGCAGCCGCACGGCTGGCTCCGGCACCGGCCTCCCCCGCGGCTCCAGGGGCAACGGAGGGTAGCGGCCGCTGAAGCGAGACCGGAGCCGGCCCGCAGAGTTGCCAGAGCTGAGCGGGGGAGGAGGGGACCGCTGGGCGGGCTCGTGTCCCGATCTCTAAGACCTGTCATCCCATCGCCCTGGGGTTCGCGCGGGCAGAGACCCTGCCTGGCTCCACGTGCCTGGGACGGGTTTGGCTCCCCGAGACCCCTCCCCCACTCCTCGTGATTTACACCCGGCTCCGCGCAGCGGCCGCTTCCCAATCAGGAATATCGACCCCGGGCGGGGCCCCGGGGCCGCATCGATCCCTCAAAGACTCGGGATTTAAAAATGTCAAATTTGCCTTTTCCAGGAAGGCGGAGGGGGCGAGGGCCTGGAGAAGGGCGGCGTGAAGTGGGGCGGACAGCGGGGCATCGACCAGGCGCCTGTGCCCTGAATGAGAAGCGACCTGGCCGTGGCCGGGCCCTGACATTGGCCTCGGTTGCAGTCGCCTCTGGATGGGAGCAGGAAGGGAGCCCTACCCCCTCTCTTCATTCCAGTGGGCCTCACTGTTGCCCTGGGGTATTCCCAGAGGGAGAAGCCCCAGAGGAACACAGAGAGACCCCCAAATATAGGGAGACGAATTTGGAAAATATCCCTAAATGTGGAGACTTGCAGACACAGGGAGGAGGGCTGCAGGAACAAAGATACAGAGGATCCAAGAGATACCTTCACTGTAAGGAATAGCAAGGCAAAAGGAAGATGGCTGAAAGACACACTGAACAAAACAGGGGACCGGAGATCCAGAGTCGCCCTAAATCTCTGCCCTGTAGACCCGGGAGATTCAGAGCTAGGGAGAAAGATCAGGCTTTTGGTGTGTTTGAGAGTGGGGAGGAGAGTGGAGACAACGTCAGGTAATGAGAGCTATCAGGGAGAGGAATTAGAATATGATTATCATTATCCTCCCAAGGTGTCAACTAGTAACTGGACCTGGGACCCAAAGCAGGAATCCCAGGAGCCACTAGCACAGGCCCCAAAGAGGAGGGCGGCCTTGGCGGTCTCATGGTCTGCCTCTTCCCTTCCTGAGATCCACCTCCTCCTGCTGATCACCACCAGCCTGAGAAAGCCAGGTGGGTTGGGCTCAGATCGCATATCAGAGACTGTATATGTGAGGAGACTGTGTGTGGACTACAGAAAACTGGTAGTGACCACTTCCTCCCCCAGGACTCAGCAACTGGGTCTCCAGACTTTGGGGGGGGGGATATCCATCACTTCCAGGAAGCCTGGGAAAAGGACGATGTCTGGGATGGAGGTGGGGAAAGGGAGCAGTCGTCCAGACCAGCATTCCCACAGGTAACAGGTATCTCCCTACCCCAGCAGCGCCCGTGCAGGCTGCCATTTCCTACACAACTGAAAACAGAGCTGACAGCCAGTGGTGGTGGGTGGGGGGAGCACAGACACACAGGGGAGGCACCCGCTCATCCTCAGACCCTCGAAGCTCGCACCTCCATGGACAAACTCAGGCTGACACGTCCCTAACACCGACACACACAGGCACTGCCCCTCATGTGAGATCCACACACATCAATCCCTGTCACACACATCTCTGTGTGTGCAGACACGCACAATTTCTCCCAGGTCGGGCAGAAGCTCCTAGTCCTAAGGCCCGTCTGCACCCTTTCTTGGCATCTCAGACCTTAAACCGTCTAACCTGAGGAGAGGGCTCAGGTCCCCGTCTCTGCTCCCCAAATTCTGCAACCAGCGCCAGCTCCAACAGCTGAAAGGCCAAATTCAAGAAGTCAAGTACCAGGATCGAGCCCAAGATCGGGGAGCTGATCAGGCAGTGGGGATGCTACACGCCTCCCTTACTCTTTCTCTCCTGCCACAGGCCTCTTCCCGGCACGTCCACTCGCGGCCCGCCCGGCCCGCCGCCCGCCTGTCATTCGAGTAATGAATGCGCGCTCGGGGCCCCGGCCCACCTCCTCCCCCCACCGAGTCGTTCATCACTGCCAGCACCGCCCACCTCTATGCCGCTTGCTGGGAGGGTTAAGTGGTCCAGGCGGCGAGAGCCCCTCTCCCCCCACCTCGACCACTAATTGTCAGATTGAGATGTTGATTTGTCAGCTGGAAGCTAGCGCCAAAGAATCCACAGCAAAAACCCGGCCTCCCTGAACTTCCTCTAGGCCCCATTCGGGCCCATTCAGCCTTGGAGTTTTTCCGGATTTGATGTAGGGGGGTTGGATTTCACTTAAGAGATGGGGGATACAAGCGTAGTATCATTCTGCTCTGACAGATGCGCAGCAGGCTAGACTCTCAGTTTCTCTAAAGGGGCTCGTCCTGGGTGCAATTCCACTCGTACGGACCCGAGACTCTGGGCCTTCAGTCTCCCGGCCTCCCAGCAGTGGGCACCGGGGCCAACAGCCTCTCCTCTCCAGGAGCTACAGTCCCCGCTTCCTCAAGGGAAGCCCCCAGGCACCCGTCCCCCAGCCCGCCTTCAGGAAGCCCTCCCGGGCGCATCCTGCCCTCTCTCCTCCAGG